GAAGATCCATTGGTGATGTAATGCTAAATTTCTCCAAATCTGTTCCTATGAGGAAACAACCTCCCCTATACTTTGGATGGCCTGAGGGTGAGTATTTTTAAGCATATTTTCATTTTTGTGTGAACTATTCTTTTAATGAGACCATTAAATGTACACATTTTACCAAATTGTTAACATTTATACCACCAAAAAACTTTGCTAATGTGCCATTTTTCAGAATGAATGTTGTTCATTTTCTTTTATTTTTAGTGTAACATTGATGACAATGGAGACCCCACAGATGAACTGACCCCATTAGTGGTGGAGTTTTGTCGGCAACATGGTGTAATTGCCAGCAAAGTCTCAGAAATCATCAACAAAAAAGAGCCAGCCATTTACAAAGTCATCCAGGAAGGCATAGACCGCGTAAATGCCAAAGCCACATCCAATGCCCAGAGAGTCCAGAAGTGGACCATCCTTCCACAAGACTTCTCCATATCTGGCGGAGAACTTGGTGAGTGTTATTTCTTTATATAGACAAGGATATTAAACAGAACAAGTGAGTTTATTGACAAACTGAATCTAATGCATGGATGTCCGTGATTATTATATTTTTGTAAAGTGCTGCAAAAGTACTTGTATCTGTCAGTGTAACAGACAACTATGAGAAGCATTTGTGTCAATAGGTCTCACATGTTTTGATGAAAGGTCTTTACAGAACATACTGAACATACATTTGCCTAACCGCATTCCTAAACGCATAATTATAGTAAACAGGCTGATGGATCTATTAGATGTGAATGTGAAGGATTTTTTTGTTTTTCTCAGGTCCAACCATGAAGCTCAAAAGGCCTGTTGTCAGTAAAATGTATCAAGAAGATATAAACAAATTTTATGGTGAATAACAGAAGAACCCAAATGAAACTGTGGGAATTAAATGGCTGACTACACTGGGATCATATTCTTTTGCCATTGATCAGTAATCTGTATTTTGCTCACTCCAGGGCTTCCAATGGACCTCACTATTATAACACATCTCATTGGCCTAAGTCAGACTTTACATTATTTTATACCAATAGATTTATTGGCTTCTACAAAGTTGCAATTAATCAGTTTTATATCTATCTATTTGTCATTATAACTGGTTCTGTATTTTCTGTACAATATATGAAATTGGAGTTGATTGTAAGTGATATTACTGTGCGTATTACTGTTGTTACAACCGGCATATGAAGTAAATTTGTCTAAATAGAAATAGGTTTAGACTGAGTCACACATGATCTGTACAGGATAATACTGTTGCTTGCATGCCGAGTATTGTTGGTACTTCAAACAGTTACAGCATAACTGTAAAGAAACGTGTGGCAGTTGTTTGTTCTCTTGCTGTTCAAATTTCACCCAGCACATTGAATATTTATAAGAGTGGAGATTATATGCTGGAATATATTAATAAATAATACATTAGAGCTCTACGAGTAAAGTATGCATTTGTACGTATTTGTTTGGTTCCTTTTATATATGACTTTCCTATGGTAAAAGTAATTGAGACAGTTCTGAATTGTGCGACAAACTCAGAATTGCGAGATATTAACTCACAATTCCGAGAAATAAGTCAGAATTGAGAGTTCTCTTAAACTGTCTCTGAGTAAAAAAAAAACTGAATTGTGAGATAAAAACTCCGAATTCTGAATTTTTTTCTCAGAATTCTATTTATTTTAGCAATTCTGAAAAAAAAGGGAGATAAAAAGCTGCAATTACTTTTTTTTTCCCCCGTGGTGGAAACGGGCTTCCATACTTCCTGTACATCACTGACGGAATAAAAAGTAGAAGTAGACATGATTTTGCATGCATTTTAGAGAATTTCACATTTGTAAATTTAAGGTGCTACAGTGCAAATCCACTTTCTTTTTTTTTTAGCAAATTTCACAATGAGCACAATGAATATTCACAAGAACGGAGATTGTGTTGGAATATAAAAGTAAATAATATATTATTATTAATAACTATTAAACTCCATTGGTATTTTTTATAATCTATTTGTTTTGTTTCTTTTATGAGTTTAGATTTTTTTCTTTGTCTACATTTCTGACTATGGGAGATTCAATAGTGCGAGTAGGTGCAGGGAAACCTCCCGATGATATGTTCGTGTCTGCCTGTGTGCGTCTGTTCCCAAACAAAACAAATCATCTCTCTGATAAGGTACAACACTATAGGCACTGTGGTTTAACTCCACCGCGCCCCCCAGGTATTGTTTATATTGTGTTCCCGAACCAGTTTTGAAGTAATGCAGAAACGCAAGCAAGAAACTTCATCCCTTCATAAAAGCGTCTTCTTTTGTTCACTTTTTCAGACAGTTTCATTGAGACTGATCTGTTTTGTGTTCTGCATTACCAATTGTTGGAAGTTCTTTTATAATAATTGAACATGTCTGGTGTTACATGCAGCTGTAGAAGCCAATGAACTGTAAGTATTTCTTCTGATACAGACGATATGTGAAGTAGCTGAGAGATTCGATTTTAGTATATACAATGACATCTAAGTACATTTTCAACTCGTAGGCATTATTCTGCCTATAGTATGTACAGCATTCTTATTTTTATGTAACTACCTAACTACATTCAGCTGAAAAAGAAAAAAATCTTCTTTTCACAGTTCATTAATCTGATATTAATATTTAATATTTGTGTTTATTGCCTCTTTAAGATGAATCACTTGATGCATTCCTAATTTTTAAGACACCTTGGATAAAAGTGTCTGCTAAATTAATAAATGTAAATGTAAAAACACTTTGGAAATCTCAGTGCAAAAGGGAATCGCCAAAGCTGTCCTTAAAAAGCTGAGTAAGATGTGTATTAGTGCATAATGTTTGTCATGTGACCATTTATTTAGAAAGGGCCCATCAGATGCACATGGCAAAAGCATCCAAGCACTTTTTAAGCTAAACATTTTAATTTATTTTTTTTATCAAATTATAATTTTGTACCTGGCAACAATATTTTAATATTCTTTTCAAAAGAATTATTCAAATATTCAGAACAATATACATTTCCCTGGCTGGTAAATAAAATAATAAACTTTCAAAATTTAATAATGTGCTGTAAGACTTGGGAATGGTATTGTGCTTTAGTAACCTTATTTTTTCCCTCAATATTTTTTATATGTAAATGTAAATAATTCTCATGTCCCCCAATTAGTCAACCTATCTATTCAACATTAATTCATCACATTAATAATTTTTCTCAACAGCCTGGTCATTGCTCTTCTGATTATCAAACATGATATCTGTCCATTAAGGACAAAGTCCAATCAAATGAAGTCATCAGTTCACCTTGCATAACTTCACCTGTAATAAAAGTGCTGGAAATTAACCATTTTCCTTCACTATAATCTCTAGCCAGTAGATGACATCTGGACTTTGATCTAAACACAAGAATCAACTACATCCATTCTCACTGTCTTACGTCTTTGTGCTCTAAATGAATTTAATACTAATATAATACAAATTAGCTCAAAGGTTGTGTATTTCATCCGTCTGACCCGAGCAGTTTTAGTAACTGATCAGACTGGCTCTGGAATGTCCCCTCATGGGAGTGAGCTGGTTGCCTTTAACTCTTGCAACATAGCCTGACCAGCTTAAAAACTTTGTCCCCAAAAATGACTTTCATTGGTTTTGGATTTAGCTCATTTACTTACAAAATGACCACATACCTATTTACTGAATCAAGTCTTACACGAGTCTTAAAGGGTTAAAAACAGTGCAACACTGCGCTCATGTGGTCATAAGACACTCGATTCACACCAGTTGCATAAAGTTCATAGCACACTGCATCTTAAAGAACAATTTAATTAATTCACTTGCTCAACAACAAACAACCAGTAATAATGGCAGATAAGGTCATCATTCAACAAGTATTTGGTTCCAAAAATCGGATATCTGTGTGTCCATGCTGAACTGGCTGTTTCACCAAATGCAAGCCAGTACATCCAGTGGCTTCTAGCACAGTGAAGAGCCTTCTAGTGGTTTGTGTAAGGAACTACAGGTCCTCTCTAATGCTCTAGAGCATTTTTACATTTTTATACATAGATTACAACTATATGCTTAATGGTAGGCCAAAATCTGTGTGCTGATATACTATTTAACATTCAAATATAGCTATACTTTTAACCTGAACATCCACATATTCATGTAGTGCAACTGCAAAAAATCCATATAAACTGTAAAATCTGAATATAGTGTATTGTAAAAATGTCTATAGATATGTAATACATAATATTCAAAAAAGTAAAAAAAATAAAACAAAAATCAGTAACAACAGACCTTCTGAAGTGCATGCAAAATATACTGTTAGACAAGATTATAGCTTAGAAGGTCAAGAAACTTTTCCTAATGATGTTTGTAATGTTTTTTCAGTAATATATTGTGGAAAATCTTAATAAGACAAGTTGGAAAGGACATCACAACAAGAGATAGGGATTGATTTGTTTTGTGTTATGCAGGAAATCAACATAAACAAATGTGCATGAAGGCTTGATATTAGTAAACTAATAATGATTATAAATGAGTAAGTCTCCTTGTTAAAACTACGGCTGTTTACATTTAACTTCACATTTCATATACAGTATATCTAAGAAGAAAATAGCACATGCAGCTAATTGCCATTTCTTTGCTCTTTATTTTCATTTTAATACCCATCACAAAATGTCCCAAACAATGGGCAACAAAAGGTTTTATGAATGATATTTTCTTGTAATTCTCCTAATCTTTCTTTGGTATTGCGAAACCCCTTAAAATCCTTTTAAAACTAAAGTAGTAATGAAAAATATATGTATATGGCAAACATTTTAGTAGCATATTATTTGCTAGTCTGACCATCTTTGCAAACTGCTTTGTGTGACATAAAGCCAGACGTACTGAATAAGTACTGTAAGTTCAAATGTAAAATGTTTTATCAATTTGAATGAAACAATTAAATGCTCTTTGGCAAATGATATAAATGTAATGATAAAAGTGAAGTGCAAACTCATTTGGTGATGATGGCAACAGCTTTGAAAACTTTGAAAACAACAAGACAAATTACCACAAATGTAAAAGTACTCAAATTTGTAGTAATCTATATGGCTTTGCAGCAAAAGCAAACTTCCAATAATGATTTATTTGTTATTAAGCATTTTGCATAAGCACTCAAATGTATTATATTTTACCTAATATGAAAAAAATAAAATATGTATTAAAATTTAATCGGATGTTTTATTAATAAATCTCACCTGTTGTTGGTGTATTCTTGAGACTAGGCGGCCGGACAACAGTCCAGTTGATGTCGTCAGTCTGCTTAAGAAAGCTTTCCATTTCATACATGTTGTTCAGAACACTTCTGATCATGGGAAGCAACATGAAGCGGATGGGAAAGGAAGAATTGGAGCCTGAATTTGCTGTGAAGAGTGTCATAGCAATCCAATTACTACATCAGACAAATGATGAGACCAAAAATACTGTGAGGTAAAGACCTTTCGATTTTGTATGCCTATCCATAATAACGGCACTTACGGTCAGTGTACCATGAGGTCATGGTGATGATTTGATTGACTTTGACTTCATGCATAGCATTTAATGCTGCCTTCATAGACTGAGTGTAGCCAGTGACTCCATAAACAAATGAGATTGGAAAGCCAAGACAGGACAACACAGCATCCTGACCTTTGAAGTGCAGTTTCAGGCTGTGTTCTGAGAAAATGTCTGCTTCAACCACCTATCACACGAAGGCATGCGGTTAAACAGTACAAGGTTATGAGGCTGCATGCTAGTGGTAGCTACTAAGTGAATACTGAAAATCTAAGAGATAAAATGTGCATCATCTGGACTGTGTAATGATCTGGGTGTTTGTCCCTTTAAGACCTGATTCGGGTTCCCTTTCGATACTTCACTTCGTACTGCATCGCTAGACGCTACGGGAAACTCCTTTTCTCCGATTTACTGAAGCCTTTTTTTCAATCACAGCAGTGCCATTGTTTCAGAAATGAACCAATGACGGCGCAGCAGAGCTGCACGAGCCTATGGCGAAGCAGCGCGCCCGAGCCCGCCAAAATGGGCGGGGCATCTGGCTATATAAGCAGGTGCTCGGCATAGGATCACTGATTCTTTCTCCTTCAGCTACGACATCTACTGCTCTTCACTGAGTCTACGAGATTTGAAGCCTTCGCCAGCAAGCTGATCCAGCCGCCGTTCTGCAGCAGCAAGATCAGCTCACTGCCTCTGCTCTCTGCTCACCGCTTGCAGCTCGCCGCTCTTAAGCAGCACTGATCAGCGCGCCGCCTTGCAGCATCGGATCAGATCGCCGCTTCAAGCAGCTCTGTTCCCGCGTCGCTCTCAAAGGCAGCCCCAGTCAGCGCTTCGCTCACGAGCCGGCTGCAGAGCGCCTGTGTTGACGCTTTCCTGCTTGAGGTAACTGAGCAAATTTCCTGCGACGTTGTTGCAAATGTCGCGCCACGGCTGTGGCTCGTGCAGTACACCACTGCACGCTGATGACGGGCACAGTGAATGCGTGCGATGTCTGGGGAAATCCCATGCAGAAGCCGCGCTCACTGAGACGTCATGCTCCCACTGCGAGAGCACGAGTCTCGCCTCTTTGCGCTCGCGGATAGCTTTCTTTTCAGAGAGCGACCCCACCCCTCGCGCCCCCCCGTTTCCTTCCTCCCAGGAACCTGTGAGGAAAAAACAGCGGGGTAGAGGATCACAGCGCTCGGATATGAGTGAGCTTACGTCGGCTCAAGGCTCGCGTACCTCACTCTCTCCACAAAGAGAGGTTTCCCCCATCTCGTTCTCCTATCCACACCAGCGCCCCTCTGCCATCGCAAGTGACCTGGTTTCGTTTGGGTGCACAGGCCATTGGGAGGTCGATGGCCAGCCTGGTGGTGCTGGAATGCCACTTATTGCTGAATTTGACGGAGATCAAAGAAGCGGATAAAACCATCTTCCTTGACTCCCCGGTCACCCCCACTGGCCTTTTTGGACCAGCTGTGGAAGGGTTTGCCGAGCGTTTCACGGCTGCACAGAAGTCATCCCAAGCCATGCGACACTTCCTGCCAAAGCGTTCCAGTTCTGCAGCTGCTGCCAGTCGCCCCAAGCCGGCGCCGACTCAACAGCCACTCGGCCGGCCAGGCTGCGTCTGCGTTACACTCTATGGCGGTGCTCCAAGTGTACCAGGCGAAGCTCCTTCGTGCCATGGATGAGTCTGGGCCAGAACATTCTGCAGCGTTCAGAGAGCTGCGCAGCGCCACCGATTTGGCCCTGCGCGCCACAAAGACGACTGCACAGGCCATTGGGAGGTCGATGGCCAGCCTGGTGGTGCTGGAACGCCACTTGTGGCTGAATTTGACAGAGATCAAAGAAGCGGATAAAACCATCTTCCTTGACTCCCCGGTCACCCCCACTGGCCTTTTCGGACCTGCTGTGGAAGGGTTCGCCGAGCGTCTCACTGTGGCCGGACCACCCCCCAAACTGCCTCGTATGTATTCCTAGTCGCCCCGTCCAGTTCCGGGTGCTGGAAAAAAATGTGTTTACTGCATGCAAAGGGCCCGTTCCAGCGCCAAAATGCACAACCGTTGTGATAACGGACAAAATAAAACACAAACATACCCAAAAAGAGAGCAAATTTCCTCTTCCAAACACGGCGAGCCTCGGGTCCCTTCACAGCGACCCGCCGCCCGAACCAATTCAACCCCTTGCCACGAGGGCCGAGAGCCCCCGTGCTTCTGCGGTGTGATCCCCACCTTAGTAGGGAACACGAACGCGAGCGTTCTTCGTTCCGAGGTGGCTGTGCTGCTGGCGAAATGGGCCATAGAAATCGTCCCGCCAGAGGCATGGCCTCATCCTGGGCATGGTCCAGTGGTGTGTCCATTGCAGAAATTTGTGCAGCGGCCGGCTGGTCCTCGCTGTCCACCTTTGTCAGGTTCTACAGCCTAGACGTCCCTGCTTTGCAGGCTCAGATCCTTTCTGCTTAACTGTCTCTCTGAGCTCAAAACGCTCCAGGAACCATATCCCCGCCCTAAGGCTGGATTTAATCCTTGCTGGGTTTGACTGAAGTTCCCACGTCTGGGCTTAGCTTCCGGCACGCTCTCGGCCCTATCTAGTTCCGAGGCTGTGCGAAGCTCTAAGAACGATTATGTAAGGCCGGGCTCGACCTCTATGAGTTAGCCCATTTCTTTGCCTCCTCTTGACCCCGAAAAGAATCCGGGTCTCTGGCTATGGCCTACTTTATTGTAGTTGATCTACAGGGCCCCCTTCCGGACGCCCTGGACAATTACTTATAAGTCGCTCATCTACCATAGCACGGTGTGATTGAATAGGTTCCCGTAGCGTCTAGCGATGCAGTACGAAGTGAAGTATCGAAAGGGAACGTACTCGGAACGTACTGCGTAGCTAGCCGCGCTATGATGCGGCACAACTCAAGTCGCTTCAGTCGATATGAATCAGTGATCCTATGCCGAGCACCTGCTTATATAGCCAGATGCCCCGCCCATTTTGGCGGGCTCGGGCGCGCTGCTTCGCCATAGGCTCGTGCAGCTCTGCTGCGCCGTCATTGGTTCATTTCTGAAACAATGGCAGTGCAGATGTACTGCTGTGATTGAAAAAAAAGGCTTCAGTAAATCGGAGAAAAGGAGTTTCCCGTAGCGTCTAGCGACGCAGTACTCGTTCCCGTATCGCAGGGAACCGAGGTTACGTTAGTAACCGAGTACAGTTTCCTCTGCCCCTGAACTCCTGTGTATATGCTGGGAAAAACACATTGTACTATCTATCGTTTTGTTGCACCTTCCTTTAACACTAATACATTCGTTGATGGTAACCTGCATCAGTGTGTTTCTTTCTTCCATAACGCACAAAAGGTTACAACTGGAACACGTTAAACATTATCTACATTGCACTGCCACATATCATTATTTGGCATTACTGTAACTGTATAACTGTCCTTCAAAATCTTTACTTCCTGCACAAAAATGTGGGGCAAGCAAATCACGTGATGATATCAGCCCATAAATGACACACATTAAGATTTTATGCCACCCTTGTGACCGTTACGCTAAATTTTAGCCGTCTTCCTCGGTGACACTGTACAAAAACTCATATAACAACTAAAATAAAACATAAAACAAAAACTTGCATATATGTTATGCATTAAAACGTTAACATTTTCAACTTGGTGATTAAGAACTCTTTCATTTTATTCCAATCCTAAACTAAATAGTCATTTAAGCATTGTGCAGACTTGAGTCAACTAGATAAGAAAGAAAATAAGAGCTAATGAATAGCTCAGACTATTATACTCATACTTCAAAAAAAAAATTTTCATTTTGTCATGAAGGACCTTGGAAAAATGAATTTAGATGCATAGCCTATGTTATTGTGAATCTGCAGTCCAACCCATTACACCTGGGAGCAAATTCATGTACAATGTAACAGTATAAATTTAAGTATTTCATAATTTCACCATGCATTTTCAAAAAGAATAACAATATATGACTTTGAGCATAAATTTTCCTACTAATATTTACCTTGAGGTTCTCGTGCGTTACCATCAGTTTTCCCGGGTTTCTGACGAGGGCAGTGACGGAGTGTCCTTGCTGAAGAGTCTGATTCACCAGCTGCTGCCCGGTTTGACCAGTCGCGCCAACTACTGCAATCTTCATGATTAATCCGGACAAAACCTTCTATTCCTGCTAAACAAGAAAATGTGCTGCCATAACATAGTCACAATCGTTTGCACAAAACCCCAGAGAAAGGGCTAAAATACGAATAGGGTTTCTTACAGGAATTTGCGTATAACGTCGCGAAAAGTTAGTTTTGTTTGAACTATCTTCTGCTTGTGATATAACCTGCTTATATCACAAGCAGTCGTGATATAAGGGGTATATATATTTGGTGATATATATTTATTTATATATATTTCGTGATATATATTTGGGGGAAGTCGTGGCCTAATGGTTAGAGAGTCGGACTCGTAACCTAAAGGTTGCGAGTTCGAGTCTTGTACTGGCAGGGATTGTAGGTGGGGGGAGTGAATGTAGAGCACTCTCTCCCACCTTCAATACCACGACTGAGGTGCCCTTGAGCAAGGCACCGAACCCCCAACTGCTCCCCGGGCGCCGCAGCATAAATGGCTGCCCACTGCTCCGGGTGTGTGTTCACGGTGTGTGTGTGTTCACTGCTGTGTGTGTGCACTTTGGATGGGTAAATGCAGAGCACTAATTCCTAGTATGGGTAACCATACTTGGCCACATGTCACGTCACTCACTCACTTACCAAATGTCCGGAAATGACATTTGTTATTGCACGACTCCTCCTCAACGACAACAACATAATGCCTCTGCGGACACATCCAAACCGAAAGTGTGTTTTTTTTAGCCTAGGGAAGATATTTGTAAATGATCTGAAGCATGTGAGCATCACCAAATGAAGCATTTAATCCTGTCGTCAACACACAAAACACCTAAGAAAACAGTGACATAACGCATGTCATCTAGCGCACTGTGTCAATGCAAGAGCCCATCAAAATCACAGAATATCACCAAATGTTTAAGTTTACAATGCACGTGATAAAAAATAAAGCGCTGCTGATAACCCCCATCTTTTTTTAATAAATCATGTTCTTGAACTTTGTACATCTACATTTAGTCATTGTTTGTCATCACTGATCCACAGCACATTTATGAATTGTATTTTGTAAATGTATTATTTTTGAGACTGATCTGGCTCCATATTAAACACCCTCTTTTGCAGCTCAACTGTTCCCAAATGGGTTCATGAAGCAGTTAAACCTATAGTGAAGGCTCTGGAGAAATATATCCCACAGCCCTATGCTGGAGAAATACAGGGCATGGCATCCTTCTATGGCACTGACATTGTAGATATTGTGCTGTTGAACTTTGCCTATGAAGTATCTGCGTAAGTATAGCTGTTGACTGTTCTTCTGCACTTTTTGGTACAGTACCTCTCTTGAAGTGTTTTAGTTGTCAACTTTTTTCAACATTCATTGTGGCTGCTTTGCTTTTTTCAGCTTTTGCACCAGTATTGTAACTCAGGATTCAAAGGGCAATATTTACCATGGCAGAAACCTGGATTATCCCCACGGTGTGCTCAGAAATCTTACTCTAGACATACTTTTTATTAAAAATGGAAAGGTAATAGTGATTATTATATAATACTATATTACATTACATTATACTCTTGAATCTGAAAGAAGTTTCTCTCTAGGTGGCATACAGAGGAACCAGTTTTGCTGGTTATGTTGGGCTGTGGACAGGACAAAGCCCCAACAAGTTTACAGTGTCTGGCAACGAACGCAGTAGGTTGATTTTTAAAAAGAGATTGTCTAGTGGATTTTGTGTGGTTTTAATTTACATCTATATTTCTACAGATAAGGGACATTGGTGGGAGAATGTAATTTCAGCAGTTTTATTAAAAAGTTCTCCAGTTAGCTGGTTAGTGCGAGAGGTGAGAGAACAAATGTATATAAAATTACAAATAAAATTCAGTATATCAAAGTACATTTACTTACTGGTGCAATAATTACTATTTGGCTGTTAAGAGACTTTTGCATGAAATAAATCTGTATATTTCTGATTCTCTTTAGACTCTTGAAGCAGCTGTGGATTTCCAGGATGCAGTAGTGAGACTGGCCAAGGTGCCGATCATCACAGATGTCTATTACATTTTGGGTGGTGTTCATGCCGGTGAGGGTGTGGTCATCACCAGAGACCGGAGCGGGTCAGCTGACATCTGGCCTCTGGATCCACTTCACGGAAAGTATGCACAAACCATCATTTTTAAATGACAAAAATTTAAATGTAATGAAAGACAAAAAGTGATGACAATGCAACAATAGGCTGTCATTCGTATAATGCTAGTGTTTTCCTGAAGGTTTTTACATTACTAAACCTGTGATTTTTACTGTTGCTTATTTTAGCTGGTATAGAGTTGAAACCAATTATGACCACTGGCTTCCCGCCCCTAAACAGGATGACCGAAGGTAAGCACACAATACATTTTTTATCAATAACATGAGAGCACAAATGTGTGATTGTTTTTAACATCTCCTAGTCTTTTTTACAGAGATGTGGCCATGAAAGCATTGAATGCCACTGGTCAAAACCATATTAGTATGGATTCTCTGTATAAGGTATATGAGCAAATCCATTTTGGCTGCCTATTATTGTCATAGATTATGGCATTTATTTCTGTCCCACATTGTTAATGTACTACAAAATGTGTTTTTGTATGTTATTATCGTAATTTTAAATGTTTTCAGTATACAAGTAATTTCTGGATTTGGATATTAAAAAAGGACTGAAGATTTTTCTTTAATGAGATTTCCCTTCTGTTTGAGAAAGCATGCACTCCTATTACATAATTTATTGACTAATTCATTTTCATTGTTACAGGTTTTATCCATGAATCCAGTATGTAATTGGTAAGGAGGACAGTAATGCAGCATTTCACCTATCACATGATATTTTATGGTTGTGTAACGGCCTCATATAGAGTGCTCATTTCTCGTATGTGGTAACCAGTAGTACAAATCTAATCCTACTTCCTCATTGAAGTTATAATATTAGAATCTAACCATGCAGTGCAGAATTTAGGATTTTCCTGGAGAGTTTGAAGAAACCAGTCATGTGAAGACTTTTCACACTACTATTCACACTTACAGCTTCACAGAGACTCAACTGTTTAAGCCACTCAGCTGTAAATCAGAACAGTCCAAGCACTGATCTCTGTTGAACTCTCACCCTCTTTCATGTCTGGCACCCAACAACTCAACAATGATTCTTAACTCATCTATATATCTATTTATGTATCGGAGTACTATTTTTCCTGAAAATCAGCATGAATGTAAATGTGATAGTGGTTTTATACAACTTTTCTGTAAACAAGAAACTAATTTGAAGTGACCTACATTTGAGAAACAATATTGTCTATTTTGTTCTATTTCCTTAACAACTATTTAATCTTTGCCACCTCTCCAGTGCATAGATGTTTTTGTTGGTACTGGTTTCATTTGAATGGTAATGTTGCATTAATGTAATTGAATATATTGAACAAATGTAAGTACCACTGTAAGGTTAGAAAAACATGGGACCCCCAAGAGCTTTAGTACAGTTTGAACACTGATGTATGTGCATTAGTTTAAGGTTTTGGGGTGGTTAAGTGTTTGTGAAAGAGGTGTCTTCAGCTCACTTTATGTAATAAAGCTTTTTAATGCGAGTATGATCTTCCTTCCAGGATCACTGTTTATACAACCGTCATGAGTGCCGGCACTCCTGAGAAGTACACAACAGTTGTCAGAGATGTAAGAACAAGCCATAACACTACTTACTTACTACTCACTTACCTACTCACTTTACATATGATCCCCACCATCATGTCATGTGGTAACCTTTCATGAAGTCTAATTGTCTGGTTTGGTAACATAAGTGTTTTTGTTGAATTGAAACAACATTTCTGTCCTAATGAAAGAGGTTGCTATAGCTTCTCTAATATCATTTTGGCATTAAGGGATTTTGTCACACTCAGTTAACATCAGTCTGTCAGCTGTTGCAAGGAGCAAGCACAGGAATTGGTGTGAATAACTAGGTCGGATGTCTTTTCTATGCTTTGGAAACTTCTGTCTCTTGCAGTCATTAGTGAAGGAACTGTGACTGTTCTGTCTTAATGACATTATCTTTTTTAGATTTTCTTCATAAATACAGTTAATGGTCTTTCCTTTCTGTTCACAGATGTGTGTGTGTGATGGAATGAGCCGTTCTCTTGACCAGCTCAGCCAGAATTTTTACCCAGCTTAGTTCTGAACTGCCCAACAAATTCTGCTTCTCTTCTGCATTTTGACAATGGAAATGAGTTGTATTTTAATATCTGAAAAGTAGGGCTGCTCGATATTGGAAAAAAACTGACATTTTTCTGTGATATAGCCTATAGCCTATTGCAATAGGAAAGGTATATATTTTTCATCAAATTACTTAAATAGGTGTATTTGGAAAGAATTCCAGCATGACTGCAAATATATCACTGATTTTAATAACTGTTCAATAAACAAGAAGTTAATATTAAGTGACTTACATTTTAGAAATAACACAGCTTTTGCTCTGTTTTGTCAACACACAAATGTATACTTCTGTAATATATTATTGCATGCAATATTAAATGTTTATAAAACATGGCTTATACGTTAAAAGCATGTATGATGGATTCTCCCTTTTATACATGCAATACACAAATAAACTGACTGTACTGAATTGAACTGAATGTAGATCTGATTTTTCTTTATAACAGATCTCCTTCCCAGACCTCTATATTAAAATAAGTGTTCATTGTAATTATTGAGGGCTTTCTGGATCTCGTGCACATGTCAAAATCATTCAAAGAAATGCTCTCCCCTCAAATTATTTTTTATTTTGGATTTATTACATATGCTGTACTATACACAGCAATATCCTCCAGACTTCTCCATCTGCTTCCTTTGAAAGTACCATTTCCTATACAAAGTCCAGTCAAGTCGCATCAAGCTATTACCCTAATCCCTTCAGCGCTTGTTCACTTAATTCAGCTACACAGATGAAGACTGTTAAAATGCAGAGAAACAAACACACCTACTGAAGGCCTCGGTAGTTTGACACAAGGTCTTCTCTTATTTTTGAATGAAAATAGTGGATTTTCGCTCAGGACATTGAAGGTTTCTCGGGAGACATGGGGAAGCGTGTGACTATGCTTTCTTTGTGTCCTCACAAGCTGATTTATTTCCATTTCTACTATTTCTACTATTAGCATTGACTAACTCAAGCACCGATGGGGTACACCAGGCGGATACATTCCTTTGGGTGATATGTTGTGGAAATAAATCTTCTGGGATTTCCTTGATTAAAGAGAAACTCTCCAGGTGAGATTTACCCACCTTGATTTGTCATCTCTGGCTGTAACCTTTTACGGTTTGGACTATTAAAGACAGAATTTTGCTGACACTATTTACACATCAATTCAATTCAAGGAAATACACAGAAAAGATACTAAGTACTAAAACTAATTTAATGGTAATCTATAATGGCATGAAATCTTTAACCATTTTTTTTTTTTAAATAGGCAAGATTTAGTATGGGTTAAATTATGTTATAAATATGTCTACAAAGAATAAAATATTCATTTTGTATAATTCATAGAATATTTAGTAGCAGTCTTATTCCACTGTACTGTGAGCAAGATTCAAAGCACATGTCACATGAGCTTTTGTCAACAGCTCTCTTAAGAAATTTAACCTCAAAACGAGCATGTCTGTTACACTAGATAATTCTGATGTCTGGTGAGCTAATGAATAACCTTCCTTACAAACGAAGTCTATAAATCCATAGTCCATAAAAAAAATACTTAAAATACCCTCCATTCATCTCTGACTCTTTTTTTCTCTTGTTTTTAAAAATTGTGAGATAGTTACTCATGTTCTTAAAATTAAACTATTTTAATGAATAACAGAAGATATTTAGAGTGAAGCAGGGCCATCATTGGGAGTTTGAAGCTTGTGGTCTTTCACAGAGTCACAGGTGTGTGTTGACGTCGTCTGCTCTGTAAGGAAGATTGAGGCCAGTGCAAGAGAGCAATGAAGCCAGATTAACTCACTCTCTGGATCTCATTAACGTGTGCAACAACATGACATGGTGTAGCCTGTTTTCATGCCAAAAGCTTGAAAATTTTGTACAGTATTTTTTATTATCATCTAATCTGTGATATGATTTACTAGAGTAGATTTTTTTGGTCTGAATTGTAGTATATAATAATATATCATATTACTAATGTATTGTATAAATTGTGTATTACTGAATTACGTTTTTTTTTTTTGGTACAATGGTTTCTTAAACATTTAAAAACGTGCACTTTTGTAATGTGATTTGTATTAAATAAATATATAAAATACGAATCATTGTGCATGATTCATAAAGTGTCATACAAGTACTTAATAAAAGTGCTTGTTATACTGACTAGACTCACATTTTCTACCTTCAGGAGAAGCCATGGGGTGTGTCGTCACAAAAACCAGTGAATTCAATAGAAGATTTGATAAAGGTAAAATGTTTACAATAACATTTATATGAATGGCTAGAGTAAGTCAAAGAATATATGTATGTATGTGTGAGTTCTGTTTATTCAGAGACTATTTAGTGTGAATATAACTTGACCTAAATTATTTCTTCCTAAAACAGATGGAAATGCCATCCCAGGTGAGTTTTAACCAGTCCAGCAAAGCTTGTGTAAAACCTTATTTATATCTCCTAGCTATTAAATTAGAACACCGTTGTCAATTATTTATGTGCAATGTCAATATATAAGCAACTTGTTAACTTTCTCAACATGTCTTCTTTTTCATGCATGTCTGCAGCGGCCATAAGTAAGCAAAACTCATCTTTTAAGACTTACAGTACACTGTAAAAAAACAGTCTAACTTATAAGAGAAAGAAAACAGCCTACTATTTAAGTCTTTTTACTTAAAATTCCATGTTTAACTAAATGTGTTAACTGCTGTTTCTTTGTAATTATTTGTGACATTTACTAGAAAAAAATGTTTTAAACTAAACTTACACCATTTGTTAGTGTATAAATAATAATTCAATTCAATTAAAGTTTATTTGTATCGTGGTAGAAGACTAGTTAGGTGCGCAGGAGCTAAACCATTAAGGGCCTTGTAGGTAAGTAATAATATTTTGTAACTGATACGGAACTTACTAGGTAGCCAATGCAGAGACTGTAAAATTGTAAAATAATATCTCAAATGATGCTCTACTGGGTGTAATTCTAGAAGCCTGACATGAAAACTATTGCATTTATAACAAATCCATTTAATTATATCTATTTAAAGAAAAAGGGAAAAACCCTTTCTGACCTCTGTCGCATTCTCTTGAAAGCAATAAAGGCTGCGGTGCTGATCCAGCGCTGGTACCGACAGTATGCGGCTCGCATGGAAATGAGACGCAGATACACCTGGAACATCTTCCAGTCCATGGAGTACGCAGACCTACAAGACCAGATCAAAGTAAGAAATGCATTCTCCACACTATTTTTAACGTAAGAGCGGGTGCGGCCATTTGTAAATTAAATGTGCGAGGCTTCCGGTGTCATGCTTCCAGTTATTCTGTACCTGCACAAAAACAGTCCATTTTGCTGCATGATATTGCAAACTGGTATTTGTTATCATATTATTTGAATCATTATAATCATAAACGCACTGGTTTGTAGTGCAAATCGTTTTACTGTTTTCTGCACTTCGACAAACTTCTAGTTATTTGGGTCATTCCATGAAATCGGTGCCTTCTATCAAACATAGAATTAACATAACAAAAAATAAGTTTGTGATTTAAAAACATAACAATGCTATGTATTCTTTCAACAAAATTACATCAAATTAAAGTCAATTAAATATTATTTTAAATAATTTAAAAAGCATTTACACTGATATTGGTACCCTTGGTAAATATGAGCAAAGGTGGCTGTGAAAATAAATCTGCATTGTTTATCCTTTTGATCATTCATTCAACAAATTTACAAAATTCTAACCTTTCATTGAAGTAAAACAATGGAAAGGGAGCAAACTCACATTATGAAATAAACGTTTTTCTCTAGTTCATGTTAGCCACGGTTATTGGCACCCAATTATTGCAACGTCCTTTTCCCAAGATAACAGCTCTGAGTTTTTCTCCAATGCATGTTTGCTACCATTATTGGCACCCATAGAAATTCTTCTAAGTAAAATATCTCTGAAGTATATTCCTATTCATATTTACATTTTTTAGCACACCAGGGTGATTATGAACATGAAATTGTTCAGCCATGACTTCCTGTTCCACAGGATTATAAATATAAGAAACACAAATGCCAAATTCCCTTAATCATCTATCACAAGGAGTAAAACCAAAGAATCTAGATCTGATGTACAGAACAAGATTGTTGAGCTTCACAAAATAGAAAGTGGCTGTAAGACAAGAGCTAAAGCATTGAAAATCCCCAGTTCCGCTATCAGGGCATTATTAAGAACTTCCAATCAACTAAAGATGTTACAAATCTGCTTGGAAGAGGACGTGTGTCTATATCGTCCTAATGCACGCTGAGGAGGAGAGTTTGAGTGGCTAAAGGCTCTCCAAGTTTCACAGCTGGAGAATTGCAGAGATTAGTTGAATCTTGGGGTCAGAAAGCCTAAAAAATGTCAAACAGCCCCTACATCACCACATGTTGTTCAAATGGGTTTCAAGAAAAAAACTCCTGGCTCATCCAAAAACAAACTCCAGCATATTCAGTTGTCAGACACGACTGGAACTTCAAATGGGACTGGCTTCTATGGTCAGATGAAACTAAAAAATAGCTTTCTGGCAGCAAACCCACCAGATGGGTTTGGTGCAAACAGGGATAAAAGTACCACATGCCCACTGTTAAATATACTGCTGGATCTTTAATGTTTTGGGCCCATTTTTCTACCAAAGGTCCTGGATGTCTTGTTCAGATACATGGCATCATGGATTCTATCAAATACCAACAGATAAAAAATCTAAACCTGACTGCCTCTGTTAGAAATCTTATGATGGACCATGGTTGGATCTTCCATCAGGGCAATAATCCAAAACAAACATCAAAATCAACACAAAAATAGGTCACTGAGCACAAAATGAAGCTTCTGCTCTGGCTGTCTCAGTTCCCTGACCTGGACCCTACAGAAAATGAGTGTGGTGAACTGAAGAGAAGATGCACCAACATGGAGCTGGTATTCTGAAGGATCTGGAGAGATTCTGGATGAAGGAATGGTCTCTGATCTCTTGTCAGGTGTTCTCCGAACTCATCAGGCATTATAGAAGAAAACATTTATTTCATAATGTGAGTTTCCCCCATTTTCAATTGTTTTACTTTAATGTAAGTTTAGAATTTTGTGAATTTTTTGAATGAAAGATCAAAAAGATAAATGATGCAGATTTATTTTCACAGCCACCTTTGCTCATATTTATCAAGGGTGCCAATATTAGTGGGCGGCATTGTATGCTGATTAAGGGTAGGGTTTTTGGCCTGTCCCTCACTATGATTTTTATTTTTCAGCAGGACTTTAAATTTGCAAAATGAAGGC